GGCTTTGAAACGGAGATGAGCACCACCCCCTAGAGTCAGGAACGACTAGCACAGATGTGCGAGGGGAACCGTTACCTTTACTATGTAGAAATTCTGTGCCATTTCTTCTTACGAACAGGAAGAGCGTCGTGTCATTTATGTCGGGAGACTTGGATCTGGTGCTACCAGAACAGAGCTGAGGGACCGGTTTGAAGTTTTCGGCGAAATTGAGGATTGCACCCTGAATCTACAGGATGATGGGTAAGATTACTCTTCCTTTTCCTCTTTGGCTCCCCTCACTCAGCAGAGGAAAAATAAAAATACTGTATTTTTCAGAGTGTAAGACACCCCAAAGTATAAGACGCATCTAGATTTTGGGGAGGAAAAGAAGGGAAAAATATCTGCCTCTGACTCCCAGCAATTTGCCTCCTTGCAACAAACAGTACAGAAAATATACACTATTTGTGGTGTTAACATTTCAGACTATTACTTGTACTGATGCTGTTAAAATTGATGTGCTTTCTGGAAGTATAGTTGTTCTCTGCTATTTAAAACAATAGCACGGGGCCTCTTCAGATCAAGCATTTGTTTAAAAAGCTTCTTCACTTTGTTAAGTTGTCTAGAATAATAATAAAGCAGTCTTTCAAAAAATAAGTCTAATAATTTGAACCTTCTATAGGCATTTATAGTTGTCGACTTACCTCCTTGCAGCAAACAGCCTGATTAGCACAAGGGAAAAAAAAATCTGCCTCCCAGCAATTTGCCAGGTGGAGCAAACAGCTAGTTTCACTTTCAGTTTCTCCCGATCATCAGCTGTTTCAGGCTGCGCGGATTGCTATAGTTTATTACAGCCTCAGCAAGCCCCATTTCCCCCATTTGCTGCAAGGAGGCAAATTGCTGGGAGGCAGAGGCCAAAGGGTGGGGGACGGTGGGTGGGTGGGGTTACATTCAGTCTATAAGATGCACCCACATTTTCACCCTCTTTTAGGGGGGGTGGAAAGGTGCGTCTTATACTCTGAAAAATATGGTGCACCAAATCCAGGAAGTCTGCAGAGATTCTCCGTCATCCATGTGTTTTTTTTTTCCCAGGAGGCCACTGGACTTTCTTGAGTTTGTTTTTTTTAAGGCGTTTCACTAGACATCCAAGAAGCTTCTTCAACTCCGACTGACTATAAATCCTTCCGTTCTCCATCGTTCAGCCAGAACTGAAGAAGCTTCTTGGATGAGAAGTGAAACATCTTCAAGGGAAAACCAAAGAAAGCCCAGTTGCCTCTTGAGAAAAGCACCACCCCTAATGCCTGTTAAGAGATCACAAAATTGGTAAAATGTTCCCTAATTTTTATAATTTTTCATAAAATGCCAGAGTTTTTTCTAAATTCTCTTTTTTCCTTTTGAAGATGTTTTGCTTCTCATCCAAGAAGCTTCTTCAGTTCTGGCAGGATATTGCATTTTTTTTGGGGGGGGGGGGAATCCAGAGGTTTGAAAAA